TAACCAGTACTTATTTTTACCATTTCAACTGGGTGTCAGCTGTTGTACTGTTTTTGTACTAATCTAGGTTTTTATCAAGATCATTATTTATATGACCATTTTTAGAGTTTAGAAAAATGYCAACATCTAAAAAGTACCATTATTATCACATTTATCATWTCCAAACATCTTTTTCGCGGTAGTCCTGCACAGGCCTATTGTAGCATTTACCACAGTTCATCATAATTGATCTCATCTTAAAACTTTACTCATGACACATTTTCCACTGTGGTCCCAGCAGCCTTCAGCTAAAAATATTATCTTTTTCCCCCTTTTTTCTTTTAGGAGACACACTTCCCGTCGTTTCTTACGAATGGGAGCCGGATTCAATCAAGCTTCCCTTCTATTCCCCCCTGCATCCAATTTAGATAACCAGCCATTAATGTTAATATAGATCCAGCTATACCACAAAGTTATGTTTGACACTGCTCTGACAGATTAGTCCTAGGCTTTAAAATTTTCACATTAAGTCATCATATTGTAATCCATCGCCAAAGTCGTCATATATGGATTTCGTCCTGCACCCTGACCTTATATTAAGCAGTTTATAGTGGCAAACATATGGATCACGATGTGGACATCTGTGATCCATTGATTATTCAACCTCATCCCCTTTGCTCGTGTGCACTACGGCAGCTTTTACTGTAAATCCTAATATGGAAATTTCCTATTCCCCCAATTTAATACACCAGCTTCAAATAAATTTTATAACACCCAAAACAATCCCCCATCTCTGTTCCCATTTGTATTGTTTTTACCCTTGTCTCAGACGCTATTATGAGGGGAGAATTTAATTACCCTTTCTTTATTTATCTACACAGGCTGAAACAAATCCATGGTTTTCTTGTCAAAACTAAGACTACAAAAATCTCTTTATATTTATTTAATTACACAGCAATTTTTTTYCCAGAGCTCAACCCAGGTAAGACCCAATCACACCTCACACCCCCAGCCGAGAGGCAGCCATGAGCCCCACCCAAACTGACCAGGTAGTGACCCAGTTGCAGATCAATCCRACCRCTCCACCACATCTGGAAGTCAGCCACATCATGGACGCCCCCTCACAAAGTCCATGTGTTTTTTCATTTCATAGTTCTTTGGCAATATACACAGAGTCCTTTTTAGAGTTCTTTTCTTTGGTCTTTGAGCTCCATCACATGGCATGTTGCGTAAAGTCTGCCAGACCTCAGTTTCGTCACATGCTGACTCCAACATATTGCACAGACTAGTTGTCAGAACAGGTGTCTTTGGAGATTAACACCCTGGACCACGCTTCAACTGTGCCCCTGATCCGCCCTTTTGAGCTTGAAAGGCATTGACCATGGTGTATTTAGGATTGTCTGCCCAGGTTTGAGTCCCAGTCACAAGAATAAGAACCCACAGT